ACAACATCTCTTCTAGATTGTATACTGTGGCACCATTCACCTTTTGGATTCTGGGGTACATCAGTACGTCGTGCGAAGGGGATATTACTAAGACAAAAAAGTGCATGTAATTTTTTTTCCGCATTTGTGTGCCTTTTATTGCTGCACGCGTTTGGGGTGGCATTCCACGTCAATATCACTGCAAACAAGTTTTGCTGCATTTCCCTGAACACGCACTTTGGCACATGTTCACGGAACGCGCAGGTGTGAATGGGGCCTAAAGGCGCATTCCACTTTTTACCAAAAAATGATAAATGCACGCATGTTACAAAAAAGAAAAAATGTGCCTTTTTACATTGGTGCCTGCAATGGCTCAACCACAAGCAGTGAGGTGATGTCAATGCACGTGTGCTCTGCTCCATTAAGAACGAAGAGTTCCTTTTTCACGCTGTCAGGTGGGGCTTGTAGTTTTTGTAGGTGGAGTCATGCACAGCCACACTGAATTTCAAACATATGCAGAAGCGTGTGGAAAGAAGCACCTTCTTAGCCAGGTAAGGAAGGGGGGGGGGTGGCGTTTTAAGGGTGAGGGCCGAGGAATGGCACCATGTTCTATGTTACACCCTAAGTATTGGTGAAACATGGGCAGGGCTTGAAAATTCACTTGTCCTCTCGACGAGAGGACGCCGGAGCCGGACGAGTAGCTTATTGGATGGCTGTTTACATACAACCAGTCCAGCGGCTGTAGAGCCGTATAATGCGTGCGGGTGTGCGCCTCCCCGCTGCCAATCCCCATTGTGAGGGCTCGGCACCCGCAGGGTGGCTCTGTCACAAGGAGATCACATGATCTCCCTCTGAACTCCTCGTTCTCTAAATGTACGAGTGATGTATATTACATCACGTCCGCATTCAGCTGTCATTCTCCAACTTTTGTAGCTGGAGAGAAGCTAATGCAGCAGATCTCTGCTTCATCAGCTTCTTTGGCGGTACCTAGGTGACATTAGGGGTCCTAGAGACCCCTGATAACTCTATAAAGAGGACCTGTCTGTGTAAGTTGGCCATCACATAGGGGACTTCTTAGTTCCCTATGTGATAACAATAAAGTTAAGTGGAAAAAAAATTAAAGTTACAAAAAAATCATAATAATGTAAAGTCAAATATAAAAAAAACACACCATTTTTTTCTTTAAAGTCCCCTGCCACCACATACACACAATGCCAAAGAAGCTGATGAAGCAGAGTTCTGCTTCATTAGCTTCTCTCCAGCTACAGAAGTTGGAGAATGACAGCTGAATGCGGTCGTGATGTAATATACATCACTCGAGAGCTGCAGCTAACGATTATTTTCAAAATCGATTAGTTAGCCGATATGGAAAACGTTGGCAACTTTTTCCATCGTCGATTTTAATCGACTTAATCGAATAATTGTTGCAGCTCTAATTTGTAGTCCTCTATACAGCGCAATGCAGAATACCACCAGCTATAGAGGAGTACAACAAATCCCAGCAATAGTATATTATATACAGCGCAATGCAGAATACCAGCAGCTACAGAGGACTACAAATCCCAGCAATAGTACAATATAGTATAATGTACTGTATTCCTCTATAGCTGCTGGTATTCTGCATTGCACCGCTGTATAATGTACTATATTGCACACCACACTTTTTTTTTTTACTTCCACCGCTCCAAGCTTGCTCCTGTGATGGACTACAATCTCAATACAAACTAGTAGTCCATCACTGGAGCCTTTTTTTTCCATCCAATTAATCAAACTTAATAATCGGCTAATTAATCGATTTTGAAAATAATCGTTAGCTGCAACCCTAAAACCTACTCCAATGGCTGCAGCCACCCATGCTTTTGCAGCCAGGGTGGTAAACATGTAGTGTCAGGGTGCCTGTGTGCTAACATCCCATAGACCTGATTGGGACGTACCTGTACTGTTGGAACTAGATGTTAGTGCACAGGCAGCCCAGCTCTAGATTTTTACTGACCAGGCTGTGGACAGCATGTAGGGGCATGTCTTAGGTGGCATCATTTATTTTATTGAGGCTAGGAAACATGAGAATAACTTCTCCCTGTAAAGGAAATGATTTAAGTGTATGTGTGTAGAGTACTGTCAGTTTTTTTTGCACTGCTATCTGTGATTCGTGTTCACTTACTGTCCTGCTAATGGTTTACCAGCCAGAAAATGAAGGGAACTCTGCAACAGCAATGCACACAGAAAAAAAAAAGGTATTCACTTCTTTTTGATAGAGATTTTGAAAGGCTTTTTTTTTTTAATAGCGAGGTCACTTAATTCCACCTTTTGGACCATGTTTCATGTTATCCAAAAAACTGAATTATGGGGTTCTTCTCCCTGCACATGCATAATCTTTTTTTCTTTTCCATATTCGACATAGCTGTGTGGACAGCCCTGTGGATGATCTGTGAATGAAAAAACGACACGTTTCATCTGACACCACGGCAGTGAAACTCCGCTCTCAATGGAGCAGAAATGCAGTTAGATCGTTGCACTTGTAGCCCATGATTTCCACTCACCACATAGTTCTAGCCGACCTGTGACAATGAGACTGTCACAGGTCGGCTCAGTAGATCGGGAGGTGAGCGAACACATACCGGCGCTCGCTCACCTCTCGATCCTGTCGCGGCTCTGCCGTGACAGGGGAGGGGCTGGATTCCCCTCTTCCTCGCTCCGATCTGCCAGCGCTGACTGGCGGAACGGACGGGGAGGGGGCGGGTACATCTGGCTCTGCCTCTAAATAGGCAGAGCCAGCTGTCAGTCACGCAGCTGGGCGGATCTCCACGTCGAGGTCGGGATCCGCTCCGGCTGTGGCGTCTCAGTATACCGCGAGCTGTAGCTCCCGGTATACTGAGCTTAGGGTAACGGGAGGACGCTAGTTTGTGTCCTCCCGTTACCCTAAGGCAGGGGTGGCAAACTCAGGCACTCCATCTGTGGTGAAACTACAAATCCCATGATGCATCTGCCTCTGCGAGTCGTGCCCGTGGCTGTGAGAATCTTGCAAAGCCTCAAGGGACTTGTAGTTCCACAACAGCTGGAGGGCCGGAGTTTGCCACCCCTGCCCTAAGGAGAACTATGGGGAAAAACACTGACCCCATAGTTCTCCTTTAAATGTGCGGGGCTCCTCCCACAAATCATGCCAATAATTGGCCTGAAACTTATCACTCTCATGAGACTCATAAGAATGATCTCATTGTCACTCTCGAATGCGGCAGCTGTCATAGTAAAAAAAAGGGCCTGGCGGAAGCAGCCACAATGCACAGTGGGGAACAAGCCATCCAACACACCCAGAAGTGTGCCAGATGCTAACTATCTTTTAACAGGATTATCTCCGATGCTGACATGAGGACAGATAAGTGTTGTTTGCTTTTAAAGAACTGATTTTTTTTTTTTACCTGATAAAAATAGCAGCAGAGGTGTGTTCTTTTTATAGTAGGAGACACAGGGGGGAATTTATAAAAACTGGGGCAGACAGAATCTGGAGCAGTTGGCCATGGTAACCAAACAACTTCAATCTTTACTTTTCAAATCTTGAAAACAAACTGAAGATAGAAGCTGATTGGTTGCCAGGGACAACTGCTCCAGATTCTGTCTGCTCCAGTTTTCATAATTCTCCCCATGGAGTTTAGAATTGATACTACTGTTGCCCAAATTATCTTCCTTGGTGACACTTTAGATAATTTGGTAAAGGTTTCATTTTGGAAGGTTTTTAGAAATAGCATTACTGTTAAATACGATTACAAATGTCTTTCACCATGGCACATTAATCTTACTAATTACCCACAAATGGCATTACCAGCAGGTCTAATTTTATACTTTTAGGGAAAAAACACAAACCAGGGGCGCCTTTCCTGGTGCAGACAAATTTATTAAGAACAAAGTCAAAGGTAAATATGAAACATACCCACAAAGATCGGCATGATTGCAATATAAAGAGTAGGTGCATGGACCCAAGAGAAAGTCCATGATAGCTGCACAGCCGTGTCTGTGTGTCAGCAAAGAAGACTATGTGATGACGCGTTTCCGGGGTCACGCCCCCTTCATCAGATGATTTTTTAACAGATTTTGTCTGATTATACTTTTGATTATATTGGTATATCCTGGCTGAGCAGTCCTATCTGGCGCTTTTTTGTTCATATCTGTACTGTAATTTTATACTTTTGTTTGCAGGTGACACAAAGCTGTGTAGTGGCATTACATCTCTGCAAGGTGCCTTTAGTTTAGGCTGGTCCAGGCACACTGTGTAATTGGGAAGTTGCATGGCAAATGGTGTTTAATGTAGACAAATGTGCAGTTATTCACTAGTACACATACATCACATAATCCGAAGGGGCGCAGTAACATTGAATGAATCCATGATTGTGAAAGATGTGGGTTTCCTGGTACAACGTCATGCCAATATGCAGCTGGTAAATCTATTTGAAATACTTATTTGAAAGGACATTGGTACGAATCACGAATGGAAGTTGTCATTGGTAACATCTTCTGAAACAATATATGTTTTACTTCTGAAGTCTAAAAGATGCATTTTATAGAAAAAATCTTTAACTTCTATTCCTTTTTGTCTTTTTTGATTTCCAGCCTTCAGCGAGTTGATCTAAGACGTACATTTTGCTTTTCAAGAATTTCTTCCTTGGCACCACCTTTTTTTTTTTTTGCCTCATTTCTTTTTGCCGCATGATTCCTTTAAAGTCGTGGATTATGTTTGTGGCTCTTTGCTTGTGCTCTATCATCTGGCTGAACCGAGGCTTCAAACTCAGAATAAGAGGCAGCTAAAGGCACCTTTTCACTCCTTTATTCATTGGACAAAAGCATTGATCAGGGCTGGGCACATGCATTAGGAACCAGAAAGCCAATGCTTGTGGAAAATTACAAAATGGAGCCTAACATTTGAAGCATCTTCTTGTGTTGTCAATGGACATGTCTCCTCTGCTCAGAAGAGTTCCAGCTAGCTTTTCGATTGGTTGGCTCCTGAATTCAGCATTATTTTATTACTCATTTATATTCTCCTTTCTGTAGGACAATGTTAATGGAAACCCTAGCTGTTTTTATGCTGTAACTAATTCACCTTGTCTTTTGTTGTTGATCTACACTAAACATATTCTGAGACGTTGAGGCTTCTGGGACATAAGTGTCAAAGGAAAAACGTTTTTACCAATGTCAACCGAGGGGTACCAGTATCGAGCGCTGTATTCTTATGACAAAGAGCGAGCAGAAGACATAGACCTTTTGCCTGGTGATATCCTGACTGTCAGTCGAGCAGCTTTGTTAGCATTAGGTTGTAAAGATGGAGATGAGCATGAGCCAGATCACATTGGATGGATTTTGGGTATTAATGAAAGAACAAAGCAGAAGGGGGATTTTCCAGGAACATATGTGGAATTTATTGGGCCTGTCCAAATGTCTTTACCAGCCCATCGTCCACGTGGCCTGCGTCCACTGCCTGCTACGCCCTCTACACTCCAGACAGAGCAAAGTACTTCCTCTGGTAAGCATTTTAAACCAAAAAAAAAATAGATACATACACACATTTACTGCTGCATTGAACGACTTGGTGCTCAGGCTCTTGGTTAATTTAACACTACACATGATGTGAAGGCAAACTCAATGTCTTGAACAGTTGTCCCAGCCTGATCTCATATGCTAACACATTCAGAAGCAAGCCACCGCTTTGCAAAGCTTATTTAGTCTGTTAGGCTTCATTCACACTCGTCTCCTGTGTTTGTTTTATTTAAAGGCAGAGAAATTTGTGTGTTTATAATTTTCTGCTTCATCTGATGCCAGCGTCAGGTGGACAGACCTACAGGTGGCTCCTTAAGCTGTTGGCATTTTTTTTTCTTCTGCTATTTATTGCTTTGCTATTAAACTTAGGCATGCTGGTAGTATAAGGTGCTATTCTAGTTTGTTTTTGTTTGCCAGTGTCCAACCCTCCTGTAGGTGGCAGTATAATCTGATGGTTTCAGAATGCCTGTGTCCCTTAATAGACTCTGAGGCCCGGTTCACAGCGCGTTCCTGCGCTCTGCAAAACGCTCAAACACCGAAATCCCATTATTTCCTATGGGTATGGTTCACACCTGGGCGTATTACAGGCCGTATGAACGCGCTACAAAACGCCCTACGCCCAAAGAAGTACAGGAGCTTCTTTGGGGCGTATTTGCCGCGCATATCCATTGGGATACAGCCAGGTAGCCCTCAGAAATGCGCATTTGTCAAGCGCTTTTTTAACCGCGAATCGCGGTAAAAACGCACGACAAACGCACATATTCGATACGCCTAGGTGTGAACCCAGCCTGAGAAAATAATTTTACAGCTAGTACAAAAATCCTCCTTCCCAAATGCTTTCTGTGGCTTTTGATTAGATTTTCATTTAGTGTGTAGTTTTTCTTTGTCTTGCTTTGAACAGGCTGTCTTAGTCTTACCATATTATTTAATTGGGATTGATATTACTATCTTGCATTCACAGAACCATACACCTGCATTTGATCCAGAGGAAAGCAAAAAAAACCTTTTAGAAAGTTTGGTCCAATTTGTTTAAATGGGATACAAATTCCTTCCTGATCACTAAAAGCAATCAAATACTGCCTGGATCAACACAATTAGTCTTTTTACTTAACATTAAAGGAGAATTATGGGGAGAGTGAAATACACTAAGAGCTGCGTGTGACACCGCAACTGTCACGCGTCAGCTCTGTTAATCGAGAACTGAGCGATCACATGCCGGTGATCGCTCAGTTCTCGATCTTCTCCCTACAGAAAGAAGGGACTGTCAGTCACCATTCCCCACAGGGATTCCGGATTACCCTTCCTGACTGGAGGGGCAGATAGGGAAGGGGGCAGGCGCAGCTGCCAAAAAAGGTTTTGATTGCCTGTTCTATTTCGTGCATTTAGGAAGCGCTCTTAACAGCAGGTGATTGCTGTTAATTTACAGGCGATCCGGTGTCTGTACAGGCGTCGGATCGTTTGTAATGTCACTACAGGCACTATGAGGCAGTATTTGACTGCAGAGGCCTGCAACTCAATGGGGAGGGACAATTTAGTCTAGATGCTTGGGAATCTTTCTATATGTACGGATTGAATCTCCATGCGAAAAACAATATAACTACCATATTTGTACACCCCAGTCTGCTCTTCATTTGCTGTGGCTTCCTAATATGTAATGTTTTGTAGTGATAAATATCTTTTTGACATTGAAGATGTGTTCCCTGACTAAAATCCTGTGGTGTAATAGTAGTAGTAGTAACTTCTTGTTATGGTGATGGGCTGGGGAGCCACATATGTGATATTCCATGGCTCTTCTCCCAACACCTGGCTATAAGCCTTCCTTTTCCACATAGCCGTGGATCTCTAGAGTCTGGGGCGATCCCATTGCATTCCCTCTGGTTATTTACTACTTATTTTCTGCTTTTAACCCATTCAACCCTTCCTTCTCTCTCTTTCCTTACTGGTCTCCCTTCCCTCCCTCTTTCCCTATGCTCCTTCCTACTCCCCCCCCACCTCCTGGCTTTGGATGTTCATTCCATGGGAAATGTTATTGCCGTCTTCCAACAATTTCTACTACCGTAGCTGTGTTGCAGCTGTGGATTTTACTTGATGCGTTATTTCTACCGTAATATGTAACTCTTGTTATTCTTATAATGGTTAACTTTAGCTTTATCTTGGTACGAAAATGTATTGTGCCCTGTTATTTGCTCTTGAAAAAGTTTTAATAAATCTTCTTTGACACACACCAAAAAAACCCATTACTGGTGAAAAAGCAGTTGGGCTGTCTTTAAAAATTGTTTGTTTTCTAATCTCTTGGATGTGCATCAGAATGTTATATTTCCTGAAAGCAGAGACCCTGTAGAATAAAATGGTGGCAGTTGCTTGTTTTTTTTAATGTCACATGATATTCTGTTTGTCAAACCCAAGCTCATTCCTGTGATGGACTACAATCTCAATACAAATGAGTGAACTAAACATGAGATTGTAGTCCATTACAGGAGTCAGCTTGGAGCGGTGTCTACTTTACAACGCACACAGGGACCAAGGGGAATAAAAGTAGCCAACCCCCAGAAGGAAGGACAGTTTAGTGTCAATTTAAGCGGTGACAGGTTCTCTTTAAGAAAATATTATAAATAGTCTGCACAGAACACTGCAATGGTTAAGTGCTCGTATTTGTCTAGGGACTGCCGGGGCGGAGGAGGAGACAGGCTGCAGGGAACGGGCTAGCAGCCAGTCTTCTATAAGGTTTAGTTGAGTATTTCTTTTTTGTTTTTCTTGTCTAGACCAAAATAAAAAACGTAACCCTTGCAATGCAGTAGCCCCATTGCAGGGGTTAAGTTTAATGAAAGCTTGGCATTCTTCTTTAACTTTGGGTTATTGAAAGCAACAGCCTAGTGGAAATCCATATGCAAAGAAATGCAATTACATTTTTCTAAACGGTTGATAAATCTGTCTAGAGGAAGCAACTTTCATCCCTTCCTTTCCATGCTGCAACAGTAACTTATGTTGAGTCATTGCTTTTGCTTCCCATCATGGAAGAGTTAAAATACTTGAAGAGCTTGGAATTTGCTGATCAGCCAGGCTAAGGATTAAGTAGCTAGCCAGACTGTTTCTGTAAAGAGGAAGGGGGAGGTGAGGAAAGCATCAAAGCCTGGCTCTGAATCTTTTTCATTTCCATAAGTTTGTCCTCCAACAGCAATATGTAGCATGTTTAATGTGTGTAGTATGTCGGGAATATTACATGTGTTTGTCTTGAACTGAGAAAGGTACTATGCATGAGGTTTGGAACAAAATACATTTAGAACATAGGGATTAACCCCTGGGAGACTTTTTTTTTTACACACAACTTTATTGCTATTACATGGGGGGCTAAGAAGCCCCGTATGGGATAGCCGATTTACATGACAGGTCCTCTTTATGGAGACATCAGGGGTCTCCAAGACCCCCTAATGTCACCTAGGGACCCCCAGAGAAGCTGATGAAGCAGAGATCGGCTTCATCAGCTTCTGTAGCTGGAGTGTGACACTGAATGCAGGAAGTGATGTAACATACATCACTTCCTGCATTCGGGGACTGAGAAGAGATCAAAGGGTGTTCGTATACTGAACTCCCTTTGATCTCCATTACATTGTGGGTAGAAGGGTACCACATTTAGGAACAATATACTAGCTAAAACCAACGACAGCGATGTTGGAATTGAGTGTTCCCACACGAACACTACTATCCCATCAAATACCACATTTTATTTTAGATGATCACATTTTTTATAGGATATTCTGAAAGAGACCCGCGAGGGCAGTAACCTCTAATTTCCACAAACTAACTATATATCATCTGTGGCTAAGCTCATGATTGGGTGAAACGTGTCGGGGGGCAGTAATGTGGCACAAGTTTCAATAAACTATCGCAGTGGATTCCAGTGTGGGCCAGCTTCTGTTCTGCTTGTATGAACTAGCTATATATAGTACACTTCTTCAGATACCAATAGTTATGACATCCTACATATTTTATAACATCCCTGAATGTATTATAATTGGAGCGACGAAAAATGAAATAAGGAGCTTGTTTCATCAGAAGACAGCATGCCTGCTGCTGTCAAAATACAAAGGACACCGCAGGAGATTTGACCATCAAGGCTGTTTTGCATGGAAGGAGGAATCTGTTATATTTTGTTCGCTCAGCCCGCAGATTGAATGGAAAAAAAATATAACTGTGTATGGCCAGCTGAAAGAGAAACTCTAGGAATTGTAAAAACTAACCCTTGAAGTGGGACTACCCTGCACTGCAAGGGTTAACTGCTCCTTTTTGGTCTAGGGGCTAAAATAAAGAAATATACTAGACTTCCCCCCCCCCCAATTGGCTCTGGCAGTCTAAGGATTCGTGACGTCATGCAATTGCATTAGACGTGAGGACGCGAGGGATGTTCCTCTCCCGGAGCAGAGGGGGAGAGAGGTGAGTGCTCACTGCCACAGTACAGAGAGCCAGGTGAGTATATTTTCTTAGCCCCACTGCAAGGGTAAATATTTTCTTAGCCCCACTGCAAGGGTATGTAAGTTTTCTTCCATCAATTGTAAGATGATTTGAAGACAAATGTTGTAAACCACCAGTAGGAATGACTGAATAAGCAGAAATATATATGCAGGTGAGTGGTTGTGCTTCCTGAGGTGCTTCCCATGAAGACACCCTAATGCACGATATTCACCACCAACTTGTGTATGGAAATTTCCTTTCTCGGTTGTACAAAGACTTGGAAAGCAAAAACAGCAGAACACCAGTGAAGATGGTAACATGCAGATCCACTTTGACAGAAATGTTTGATAGTGGAAAAATCAATTCAATCTGGTGTATAGTCACTATCGAGAAGGAAAGAAACAAGTTGAAGTGGATCTCACCAATAATGTCCAATTATCCTGAAACTCCTATATGCCCATAGCGTTCACAGTTGTTACTGGGGATCTCCATGTTATCTTCATGAAAACAGCACACCCACCACGCAGGAGTAACCCAACGGCCCTGGAATGCTGTACTGCGAATGGCGAACTCGTTTCATTCTGTGCAAGAACTTCCTCAGAGCTAGTACCCCATTTTTTACATGTTCAAAGCAAATAACACTTTACTGTATAAAGAGACTACCGCCCAGAATTTCCAAGTGTTAAAACAGATTTGGACACGTTAAAATGAGGGGAATTTATCAAAACTGGAGCAAACTAAATCTGGAGCAGCTGTGCATGGCAACCAATCACCTTCTCGCTTTCAAATCTCCACTGAACAAACTAAAGGGAGAAGCTGATTGGTTGTAGTGGGCAACTGCTGCAGATTCCGTCTGTTCCAGTTTTGATTCATTCTCCCCAATGCATATTACTCCGCTTTTTTTTATAAGCATGATCCTTTTACCCCCCCATTCTGATACACACGCATTGGCTGAGTTTGGGGAAAGGATCATGGCAGTTGCAAGCAAGAATGAGCTGATGTTTTACTGCAGCTGCTGTATGCGATGGCCAGCCTCAATCAAGCTTTGTTACTTTATACTGCAGAGTATAAGGTTCTAAATGAGACCATCATCTTTTTTTGAATTGTATCTGATTGTGTGGCACTGATTGTGAAAGTACACGAATGATCTATACTTAATAGTTTTATTTTCCTTCTTCCAGGCCCTCTGCTACCTGAACTGGTTGATCAGTTTTGTCCTCCAGAAATAGGTCCTCCGATACTGGTCAAGTTGTTTGAAGCCATTGAAAAGAAAGGTTAGATCATTTATATTAGATGTTTTATGTGTCCACTACCAGATTGGTAATGTAAAGGTTACTGCAACATAATAGAACATAGTTAAAGGAGAACTATGAGGTGAGTGAAAACCACCCATCCTCCTAGTTCGAGCCGACGTGTTGCAATAAAACTGTCACACGTCAGCTCAATAGATCGGGAAGTGAGCGAACACATACCGTCACTTGATCATCTCCCTGCAGAGAGCGGTGACTGTCAGTCACCGCCCCGCGCAGGGATCCCTCCCCACTCCGATCCTCCAGCGCTGACTGGCGGAACGGACGGGGGACGGGGCGGGTACAGCTGGCTCTGCCTTTAGATAGGCAGAGCCAGCTGTCAATCACACAGCTGGGTGGATCCAGACAGTAATGTTGGGATCTGTCCTGGCTGCGGCGTTCTCAGTATACCGTGAGCTGTTGCTCGCGATATACTGAGCTTTGGGTCACGGGAGGGCGCTAGTATATGTCCTCCTATGACCCTTAAGAGAACTATGGGGAAAACACTTACCCCATAGTTCTCTTTTAATATCATAATAGTGTGTATTTAGTAACACAGAGAACAAAAAGATTAAAAAAAAGAATGTCAATTAAATATTTGAATGTCATGTGAAAAGCTATTTGCTACTTTTTTGACTTTGGATGTGCAGTGTTTGCCAGAAATAAAAGGCACACACAAATTTTTGGTGTGTAACAATTGTGTTATTGTTAAACACAGCTAGGCATGGCACAGTTTTTTCATACTGCAGTCTACGCTACACTTACACGATTTTACACAATACATTATTTTTATTAAATGCTGGAAAATTATTTGGCACTGATGTTTGATGTTTTTATTTGTATTTTTTTTACATAGTTAATAAGTTAATACATACATAGTTAATCCTATTTAAGATATTAATATATTTCTTATATTGTGTTTCAGAAAGTGCTTTTATGAGAGTGTGTAAACCAAAATTACAAATTTGTCATGATACATTCCTCAGTCTCTAGTAATAATCATATTGCACTTTTTTTTGGTAATTGATAATACAAAGCAAATAGCTGGTGGTCTTGCTGTTCTCCTCCACATAGCAGCACTTCCTGTAATGTCTTAACAAAGCTATTCACTGCTGCAAATACCAGGGTAGCATTGTCAACTTGCATCCTCCCTTCTGGACTGGGACCCACAGAACCCCATACCTATGTGACATCACAGGCTGACAGCCCCTGTTTAGCCTTGCATAGAATAACTAACAATTACTAGTACCATGGCCCTGCCACTCAAAAGAACAATGAGCCAGGAATTATTGCAAAGTGACCAATTTTAAAAGAAACGTTTTTAGTAAGGTATTTGCAACATAGAGAGCGATTTTAAAACATTAAAATAGCACATTATGAAACATAAAATTGTAATAACCGTCTGCCGTTATTGCTTTTGTTTGTCACTTTCATTGCTTGAGAAATTGAGCATTTTGCTTGCTTAAGGCCCCATTCACACTGAGCGATTTATCGCGCGATTTTCATGTCACTCAGTGTGAATGGGGCCTTAAGGATAGGTAGAGAACTTAAATTGTTATATTCTCTTTTTTGTTCTCTTTCTAGGAATGGACAGTGAAATGCTGTATAGGACCTCTGGCTCGGAGTTTAGACACACAATAACAACTGGTAAGAACCAGTTCTCATTAGGGCTGAACTCATTAAGGCTCTTTATTGCAAGTTTTTAGGGTCTGCTCAGTTTATTTCAGCTAAAATGAATAGAAAACTCACTTGTGTTTCTTGAGCGTACATTACAGAACATTGGGAGTTATTTAAAGGGTATATTTTTTTTCCAAAACTAAGAATAAATATGTAATTCTTTATTCCCATAAGTTCTATCCCACTTCTAACAACCATAATGATCTAGAAGTTTGTAAACTTACTTATTGAAGATCCCCGTAGGATATACTTCCTCAATGCATTGAAACATTTTCACTTAGCCCTGTGAATATGCTTTTTCTTCGCAACTCTCACAGAGCCTGCCTGCATTAATAACTCAATGGCTGAACAATGTAACATTATCATTGCTTGCTGAAAGCAATGCATCATGGCTTTTGTAGTCTTGAGAATTCAGTATTGCATCACATATCACATCAAGCAGCAGGGAAAGAGATGCAAAGCATACTGGAAATCCAGAAAGTTGTTGAAAGTGATGGGCAGACAGATGGCAGCATTGACTACATAAAGGGGATTTTTTTTTTCAAGTAAGCTTTGATTGCATTCTCATAAACAACTGTAGTATGTATTACTATTATAATGCTGATGTTATAGCGGGATAGTATATGGTGTGACCTTAGAACTCCTTTAACCACTGGGTTATGCAGCTACCTTCAAGCGATTGGACACTTTGGAATTAGAATCCTTTAAAGCTGTAGGGACCACCCTGCATAACTCCCCCCACTCCCATCCTGCCTCCATTTTTTGTTTAGTGCCCTTAGGCTTGGTTCACACCTGGGCGTTTTAAAGCGCGTTCCTACGCTCTGTAAAACGCTCAACATGTGAAAACCAATGATTGCTTATGGGCATGGTTCCCACCTGGGCGTTTTACAGCGCGTAGGAACGTGCTGCAAAACGCCCTACACCCAAAGAAGTACAGGAGCTTCTTTGGGGCGTATTTGCCGCACGTATCCATTGGGATACAGCCAGGTAGCCCTCGGAAACGCGCGTTTGTCGCACGTTTTTTAGCGCAAATTGCAGTAATGCGTGGCGGCAAACTCGCATATTCTGTACGCCTAGGTGTGAACCCAGCCTTAGCTGAAAGACGCTTTGTCTCAGCTCTGAGAGAAGTACTCTCTTTTGCGCTATTTTTTTTTTTTTTCTTCCGATTTTTGTTAGACTCTCGTAAAAAGTTTCCCTCATGCTGCTCTAAGCCACTACAGCACCTCCGGCAGCTATCCAGATCAGTTTTCTCCTCAGCAGAGCCTTGGCAGACAATACCAGGACCTCCTAGGAAGGAAGATGTGGAACTAACCTGTAATGTGCTCAGTCACTGGTCCCTGCGTTTGTTGCCCTCCTGCAACGCTTGTGGTCAGTTACAGGGAGCTGTACTGGTCCAGGGCTGTGGTCCATCTAAGTGGATCCTGACCCTGAAAACACTCCTAGTTGGGTATACCCAACTAGGAGGGCAAAGATCGGGGAGACATGTCCCCCCTAACTGTTGCTGCATCCATGGTAAGAACCTAAAGCCCCCTCAGGTAAGCCACAGTCATGTGCCCTTAGGTGCCCAGGCTGTAGTCCTAGGATCCTACAGGGTTAAATGTGTTGCTACAGTGTGACCTCCGCATTGCACTTTCAGTGGTGGTTCAGCTTAAAGGAATTTAATTCTGCTCTGGTAGTTGTTTCCCTTGAGGCCTAGGGTCTGTGGACCGCACCTGCACAGCCATCTTCCTGGGTGTTGTACAGTGCATGCACACCCCATTTCTGGTGCATGCTTTGCCTGGACATGCTTCCTTGCTGCTGCAACTGTGCACAAACACAGAAGGGAGAAGCTTCACTGCTGCATTGCACTGCCATTAGTTGTTTGAGAAAGCAAAAATGTAGTTGTTAGGTTGAAGAGGGATAGGCTTCCCTCAAGTGATGAACTTTCAGGGATTACCTAAAGGTAGAAAGAGTAGAAGATAGCCAGACAGGTTGGGGTGGAGAGTTCCATAGGATGGAGAGCCTATGGGGAAGTCCTGGAAGCAAGCATTTGAGGAGTTGACAAGGTAGTTAAAGAGCAGCAGGTGTTGGGAGGAGCGAAGAGAACAGTATGGGTGATATTTTAAGACAAGGTTGGAGATGTAGCTGCAGGCAGAGTTGTGGAACGCTTTATAAATAATAATTTTATTCTTTAAGTGATCAGAAGCCAGTGGAGGGATTGGCAGAGAGGGGTTGCAGAAACTTAGGGGAATTTAATAAAGCCTTAACAACACGTAGCTTCACCAACACTTGCGACAGATTCAAGTAGTTCTTAATAGTGTCAGTTTAAGAATCTGTCGCTATGGCTGCGACAGATTAAAAAAAAATTACCAACAGTTTACAGATTGGAAAACTGGTGGTAATTAAGACCAAATCTGATCTGCCAACTCTGATATTGCCATAGCCAATAGCAGGCTGGCTATGGCACCCACACACTGCCTGCTTTCAATATGCAGCAGAGCGGACCTGATCGGGAACTCAGTTGTCTGAATGCCCCATCAGGCTCCACCCACCCACAGTATACAAAAGTCTTCTACTGCACCTGCCTGTGTGACAGATGCAGTGACTGGGTGGGAGCTCAGTAAAGGCCGTGACACACTGCACGCGTAGCAGCGTGGAGCGGGGGGGGGGGGGGGGGGGGAGGGAGCGTGCAGTGTGTCACGGCCTTAATGCTGAGCCTGTGATTTTATTAGGCTCCGCGTTGCTAGGCTGCACTGAGGACAGAGTATCTGGTATGCACACACTGTCCTCATTGCATCTCTACACCGCAGATGTCAGTGCTTGCTCCAAATTCATGTGCCTGTTTGCAACAGGTACAAGAATCTGGTGCAAGCACAGACATTTGTTTGTTCGGATGCATGGAATTCAAAAGAGTGTCACAGACACCAAAAAAACACCTACCCACTTAACTTGCCACTCTTTTTATAATTCCAAACGTATGATTTCTGAACTTGTAAATTTAGATTCTACTTTATGCAGTGTTCCCTTCTCATTTCAGATCTTTATGGAGCGGATTTGGAAGCAGCTGATGTACATTTTATTACTGACCTGGTCAAGACATTTCTTCAAGAGTTGCCAAGTCCTGTGATACCATCACACATCAACCTGGACCTCATCCGAACACTAATGGGTAACAATCTGATTTTCCTTAGAGTACTATTAAACTCTCAAACTCTTTTTCAATAATCAATCCAGATCGAACAAATTTACATTGCCCAGCAAAGTATTTCTTTACATTTTTGCCCAAGCACTTAGTCATCATGTTTCTGAACAGCTCCAGCTCTCTCATGTCGACTTCTCTGAACTTCCTGTCCAGTACAAGATCATTAGGGACAGAGCAGTCCCCAGGACCTGTTTATCTAATAACTGGGAGGAAGGAGGAGCAAAGAGAGGGGAGTGTCTTGCATTGCTGTGTGTTTGTGGAGACGCACACAGTTTACTAGCACACATAAGAATGGCTCCATAGGATCCTGTAAGGGAAAGGAGCCCCCCTAAATCAGGATATCAGGGCCAGCCCTCAGGGGACCAGCTGATTCTACAGGAAACTAAAACTTTTAAACATCAAGGAGAAACATTCACTGTGAGTGATTTGATCTGCATTTGAAATAGCTTAACCTTTGACTTTAACATTAATGTTGCCTTTGTTTTTTCCTATGTAGGATTCAACAATATAAAAAGAGGTACCAAACTAATACGGTCCAGATAACGTTTGTAGCATTTTAAAGCCAACACACTTTGAGGGTTCAGGGGCTAGAGAATGAAACATATTCGAGTATAAGCCGTCCCGAATATAAGCCGAGGTACCTAATTTTACCACAAAAAACTGGGAAAAAGTATTGACTCGAGTATAAGCCGAGACTATAAACGCATACATTCATCCAAAGTGACATGTTGAGAATATGGTTAAAAACAAGTCCACCTCCACAGGCAAGAAACATCCTGGCCCACAAAATCTTTTTTGTCGACTGCTTCAGTTTTTTTGCTTCTGATATGTTATGTATTGACCTGTCCTGCTGAACCACTCAAACTTTTAGATAGACTAAATAAACATAGCTCAAATATCAAACAATATCCTTTATCTGAACCTTAATATTTTGGAGCTCCATGACTCCTGTGCACCAGAGAGCAGCCTACCGATGAACCTCTACACCAGGCCACATACCCATTTAGAACACCAACCTGCTCTAGGGTATCCAGCATTTCACAAATTGACTTCTCTACCTTCATACTAAGGAACAGTTGTGGGCAATCCTGCTGTACTTTCACAACCAATAGAGAGACAAAACAACAAAAACCTCTGGACAAAAGTTCACAAAGCTGGAAAAGGCCTTTTTTCATAAATGAATTAATGTAGACTTTAGAAGGAATAAAATCTGTTTTATGTTTTTAGCTTCTCTATATACTAAATACTGTGTGTGCTATTAAAACTCAATTTTTTTAAAAACATATCCACAAGTCTCCTTGCTTTCACATCTTAGCTAAACAAAAAAACAAGCGAGAAGTAGAATGGCAAAAAATTTGCATTACAGTGAGGTACAGTAACCCCTGCTTTTTCTTTTTCTGACCCTTGAGCGAAAGGAATGGTGCAGTGTATTTAGCCCTATGCATTGATGCATCAGAAAAGAGAAAGCAGTCTACATACCGTAATCTGCCTTTTGAAATTTTTTACATTTTGGATTAAATATTCTCCTTTTATTGTTTGTTTATTGAGGGACAAAAAAATATAGTCATTAGTGGACATATGAGTTACATGGACTTGATGGACTAATGTCTTTATTCAACCTCAAATACTATATAACTATGTAACATTGTTGCCTTCAGTAGGTTCAGACACTGGAAAACAACAAACCTTAAAGGAGAACTATGAGGTGAGTGCTTTTCACTCACCTCATGGTTCTAGCCGACCTGTGACAATGAGACTGTCACAGGTCAGCTCACTAGATCGGGAGGTGAGGGAACACATACCGGCATTCGCTCACTTCTCGATCCTGTCACGGCTCTCTGCCGTGACAGGGGAGGGGCTGGATTCCCCCCTCCCCGCTCCGATCCTCCAGCGCTGACTGGCGGAACGGACGGGGCGGGTACAGCTGGCTCTGCCTCTAGATAGGCAGAGCCAGCGGTCACTCACGCAGCTGGGCGGATCCAGACATAATTGTCGGGATCCGCTTCAGTTGCGGCGTCTCAGTATACCGCGGGCTGTAGCTCGCGGTATACTGAGCTTAGGATGACGGGAGGACGCTATTTTGTGCCCTCCCATTACCCTAAGGAGAACTATGGGGAAAAGCCCTAATCCCATAGTTGTCCTTTAAGCCAGCCCGTGTATAATCCACATCCAACCATCATACTTAAATTTTTTGCTAGTGTCCTAAGAGGTTGGACACTTTTTTTTCCTCAGTTCTGCTTTGGAATTTCTCTATCATCATGCTTGGTATTCCATGGATGTTTTTTCTCTTAAGTCAAGAGGTCCAATATGCTAGTTTCTTTCACAAAGATTTTATTTGTTTTTTGTCAGTTTTTTCACATAAAAGGTTACAAAAAGAACAGAAGTAGGGCATGCAAGCCCTGCAATAAGGCACTTAAACGGAAAACAAACAGCTACAGCATCGTGCAGAGCCCTGCAGGCCGTAGAACAGGAGCAGTGAGACAAGTGTCAAAGTGCAATTTGGGAGTTAGAAGGGGGTATTGCAGTTCAGGTTCAGTGGGTAAGACCCAAATTAACATGGAATGGAGCATCATAGGTGCCAATATGCTAGTTTCTATACAGCAGCTGTATGAATCGGTGTAACCTCAGCAATCGCTTTGGAGGCCATACTTGGACCCTGCCAGACTAAAAATTGTTACGACTAGCCTGAAATGTGACCATTGCCACCACTTTGTTAGACCTTAGTGTACTGTGATCATTAACCACAGAGCATTTTTCAGGTCTACAGCCGTGGTATAGCTTGCGTATCTCATTTTGGTGTCCACACTGTTTCATTGTTGGACTCCGTCTTGTTTCCGGATCCCTGCATCTGATTTTTCCCTCCTTAGTCAGTGAGGTTTCTGATCACGAATGCAACTTCTTTTCTTTCCTTACAAGGCAATGTCCATCTTCTAAGTTCTGTACTACCCTGGAAGATCAGCAGACTTGGCACTATTTTACTAGCTAACTTCTCTGTCATATTGTATCAGTGTTTCCTCTTAGAAATAATACATTATGAGGGGAATTTATCAAAACTGGAGCAGACAAAATCGGGAGCAGCTGTGCATGGTAACCAATCAGCTTCTCTCTACAATCTGTTCAGTTAAGATTTGAAAATGAAACAGAAGCAGAATGAAACAGAAGCTGATTGGTTGCCATGCACAGCTGCTCCAGATTTTGTCTGCTCCAGTTTTGATACATTTCTGCATATGTCATTTGTTTCTCTCACACTTACTGGGAAATGCCTTCCAGTCATATTGAGTGTCCACAGGGTCTGTGTCCACAGGCTTCGATGGGCAAATGCAGCATGCTTTTGACATCAGTTTGAGACTTGTGGCGAGATAAGTCAACAATGCACACTGTGGATTAACCAGTGACCCACCTCAACAGGTATACCACTAGACTGGTTTGATGGCGTGCCTACCTTTTGGGATTTCACTGATGGGAAGATAAAGTCCCTTTTTTAAATCCCAGAATTGACTGGCCTTGCCCTCTCTCGTGTTGGTGGACCTGTTCTTCTGGAACTTGTCCCAGTGTTTTTTTTAGGTTAAGTTTTTGGTGTGTTTGGTTTCACAGTCTCTTGCTGGTTCAGGCTCAGTGTTCCTTCAGGTGGAGTTGTTCCCCTTCTATCCTGGTCTTGAGCCTCTGTGGCCTTCCCTTGGTCATTGGTTGCAATTCCCTGTCTTGCGGAGGGCTTCACCTTATCTGGTTTGGTTTGAGCAATAGTTCTTCAGGTAGTCTTGAGTTCCTAGTCCCTTTGTGTGGGCCTGTCAGTGGCTGTTGCCCACCTTTTGGGTGATCTGCTTGTGGATGTCCCAACGATCTGCATACCTTTGTCCGTCAATGAACGAGAAAGAAAATTAGTTTTTTGTACTTTTTATAACAGCTATTTCCATTGAGAGACTTAGGTCCTACCTCTGTGTTTTTTGCTCTTTCACTTGGTACCAATTTTCCACAAAACTGAGGCATGCTGGGTGGAGTTTAAGAGGGGGGATGGCTTTTGATTTTTCTTTTTACCATCGTCCAAATCTTCTGTAGGTGGCAGAATAACTGGACTATAACTGAATTCCTCCATGGTCTTCTAGAAATAGATTTTACATAAGTACAAAAATGTTGTTTTTTATATGAGAAAAGTGTGCCAATATAATTCAATGTAATGTACAAATATTACAAAATGTCATTTTTGTTATTCATTATTTCTTGCTTTTTTTCTGTCCATATAGAGTCTGGTGAAGATGAGCAAAAAAGAGCATGTATTTCTTCAATTCTACAACCCCCTACCGTCCCTATTCAGCACGTTCTCACTTTACAGTTTATACTTTGGCACATTGGAAAAGTATGTAGCTTTGGCAGTGTTAATGGATTTAATGTGAGGGAAGCTGCAGAGATATTTGGACCATTGTTGCTTCGGCATGTGATCACAGGGTGAGTTTTTGTGTTCTTGATCTAATTTACTGTTAATTTCTTATAAATTATTTGATTTTGCTTATTATTCAACATAAAACAATTCATACGTCTCCAGTAATCAACCTAATCCCTCATTATTCAGGTGCAAAATCCTGCTCAATCCATTGAGTGCTGACTAAAATTATCCTAGCAAATTGATGAAAGCACCTTTTCTTTGTGCTCTTTGCTGCAGTATTGCAGACAGTGAATCCTACAGAAGAGCCCTAGGGCCATGGTAAAAGAATATGAAAAACAATTCTGAGTTTGAAAGTCAGATTTTTAAACACAGAATCCTGACTTTAAAAGTCAAAATTTTGTTTCATATTTTTTTAGCATGGCCCCAGGGCTCTTACTTAGAATCCTATGTAAATGATGCCATTGAACTTTTTTTTTTGCCAGCTTCATTTGTAAATATTCTGTAACATTACTGTTGCAAGGTATTTTGACTGGTTCTTGTATGTGCAGATCAAACCAGTGTCCTTATAACTATCAATAAGCCTTTCATGTCATACATTGGCAGCAGTGTAGACTTGTACACCATCATAGCCGGCTTTAAAGTTAGTGTAAGTTAGCACTTCCCATGTGTGACAACATAGAACCAAAATCCAGTGTACCCATCACACTTCTGATGAAAAATACCCTTAGAGTCGGGTGCCAAAGTGACTGCAGATGCCTCTGCAATCCAAGATAAGTGTACGTATAAAGTCACTTAAACTCCAATAGAATTTCAAGTCAAAAACGGTTTATTGACTCGATTGTTATCACATCATATTGCTATATGATGTGATCGCAATCGAGTCAACAAACCGTTTTTGACTTGAAATTCTTTTGGAGTTTAAGTGACTTTATACATACACAACATAGAACCACTCACACACACATTACTGGGTGCCCGGGATGTCATCAGGTAGGATGAAGGGAGACCAGTGAACTTTGGTTCTCTGATTTTCCCTTTCTAGAATGTACAGTCAAGTTGATGATCGCAATAAAGCTGAAGTGGAAAGAAAAAGGTTTTAAAACGTTTTAAAAATGAAAGTTTAATAAAATAAGCACAACATTTTTTAAAGCCCCATGTACATGCACGTACGAATGTAATCATGCGTCAGGTGCACTTGCATATAAAAACCACACGTTTCATATGCACACGCCAGCATTGAAAAAGAAATAATTCTAGGGCCAGCATTCAGGTTCACAAGTGACGAGGGAGCATGGAACCGGCTTACCGGCCAATCAGGAAGACGGGCAGCGTGTAATGACTCGCTGCCTGGCTTCCTCATACCGGAAGTATCGGGCTAGACATCGGAGCATTTGGGCCAAATACTCGGCAGCAATACCGATACTAGTATCGGTATAGGTGCATCCCTACTTTTAAGTATTAAAAAAAGGTACAAAGGGCAAAACATGAGACAAGGCACAGATCAATACAATCAAGGATCAACGACACAATGTAAGACAAAAGAGATAAATAGTATACAGAATATATCAGGTAGTGTCATCAACATCAAATTCACTTTCAAATATGGTAGTCCTCCGTGGAGAAACAAATGACACATTTGTGGAATGTGTGAGCCAGTAACCCAGTCAGCCAAAATAGCACTTCAAGAATCATCAAAGTAACCAGCCTCAGAAGACAAGCTTGGAGATGTGGAAACAGAGGGGAAAAAAGGACTGGTAGAACAAGACAAAGCTAGAGATAGAAAGGAGAAAAGTAAAGCAAGTAATAGAGAAGTCTTTACCAGATACTTCTTACTTTAAGCAAACTCATTCTCTTTTTGCCATTCCTAAGGGTCCTTGTAAGGGACAACCAGTTTCTTGTTCCATCATTTTTGGTGGCTTCAACAAATCATCTTCTAGCCAGTAGACTCAAGTATTTAGTTCTACCCTTTGTTATCAAGGCAAGATCAGTAAGTGCTTCTTGGGCCTTTTGGCACCAGGCAACTGATTATCAAATTTGTTTTCTGTGTCCTAGTAGTAAGGGGGGGGGGTTGAAGCAGCTGA